AGATGTGGGGGCTGTGCCACACCAGCATCCGCCTCCAGTGATGCCAAAGCAGCCAAGATGCTCACGGCTGCACCCGGGGACGGTGGTGTTTGTCCTCTGCCCTGCTTGTCCGCACCCAGCGGTGACATTGCATGTGGCCCGGTACCTGTGGATGGGGGTCTCCACACCCCGCTGCACGGCTCAGCTGCTGTATGTTTGTTGCCTGAGCTTTTCTCCCCGTCTCTCTTCTGCCCTTGCACAGAAAAACCATGTTTACAAGAAGACCCTGCAAGCCTTAGTGTACCCCATCTCCTGCACGACACCCCACAACTTTGAGGTGTGGACGGCCACCACTCCCACCTACTGCTACGAGTGCGAGGGGCTGCTGTGGGGCATCGCCCGGCAGGGCATGCGCTGCGCCGAGTGTGGCGTCAAGTGTCACGAGAAGTGCCAGGACCTGCTCAATGCCGACTGCCTGCAGAGTAAGGAGCCGTTGCCTGCAGCCTCATCCCTTCTCGCTTTGGAGAGGGAGGAGGGAGCGGCCCCGGGGAGAGCTGGACTCCTGCCTTGTGCATGGGGGAAGTGGCGGGCAGGGCAGATCTGTCCTGGGCAGGGTGCAGACCCCCTCCAGGTTTGAATTCATTCATGCATGGTGGACTTGGGGAGCTCTCGGCTCTCTCCTGGATGCTGCCTGCCCCCAGCGTTTCACCCATGGGTGTCCTCTCCCAGGGGCGGCGGAGAAGAGCTCCAAGCATGGAGCGGAGGACCGGACCCAGAATATCATCATGGTGCTCAAGGACCGCATGAAGATCCGGGAACGCAACAAGCCGGAGATATTTGAGCTGATCCAGGAGGTGTTTGGGGTCACCAAGACCACGCACACGCAGCAGATGAAGGCAGTGAAGCAGAGTGTCCTGGACGGCACCTCCAAATGGTCGGCCAAGATCAGCATCACAGGTAGGCACCAGCTGTGCCTGGCACCGTGTGCTGTGGGGGACCGTGTGGCTGTCCCCATGCACAAAGATGCTGCGTGCTCCAGTCCCCCTCCAGCCCCTCATCCCGTGAAGCAGCTTCAGCCCCCGGGGCTCTGCCGGGGGACGCAAGGAGCCTGTTGTGGGGATCCTGGCGTGGCTGTGGCACTGACTCCTCTCTCTGTTCTCTCCGCTGTGCGTGCCACGCGTGTGCCTTGTGTGGATGGGCGGGCGTGCTGCGCTGCGCTGCAGTCGTTTGTGCCCAGGGCCTGCAAGCAAAGGATAAGACGGGTTCCAGTGACCCGTATGTCACTGTCCAGGTTGGAAAGACAAAAAAAAGGACTAAAACTATCTACGGCAATCTCAACCCGGTCTGGGAGGAGAATTTCCATTTGTAAGTTCACCCCTGGCCCCTCCGTCCCCCTTCCTGGCCACGTGCGGTCATGCTGGGCTGCACCGGCTGTCGGCATGTCCCTGTGGGGTGGTGGGGAGCCTCACCCTGCCCCACCTGAGGGTGGAGGAGGGCTGCTGGGGTCACTGGGAGTGCTGGTTTTGTGCCGTGGAGGGTTTGGCTCCCGGCGATGGGGGCTGATGCAGGCTGTGTTGGGGCTGCCTGGGCACGGTGCAGAGCCACTGGGGAGGGTTGGTACCCCCACATCTGCTCTCTTCCCCAGTTCCTGCCCGGTGCTGGGATGGTCCCTCTTGTTTAGGGAAACAGAGGCTGTGGAGAGGCTGGACGGGTTTCCCTGCTCATCCTGGGGCTTGCCCCTTCTTGCCTCCCCAGCGAGTGCCATAACTCCTCCGACCGCATCAAGGTCCGTGTCTGGGATGAAGACGACGATATCAAGTCCCGTGTCAAGCAGCGCTTCAAGAGGGAGTCTGACGACTTCCTGGGCCAGACAATCATCGAAGTCCGGACCCTGAGCGGGGAGATGGACGTCTGGTACAACCTCGGTAACCTGCTGCCCCAGCACGACCTGCTCGGGCTGGGACTCTTGGCCCTGCGCTCCTGGGGGGACGTGCTACCAGCCCTGGGGTGAAGGCTATCTCAGCATATTAGTATAGGGTCTGCTACTAACCCCACTTAATATTGAAAGCCATTGGGATCAAGTATTTTCTCAGGGTCATTCTCAAAACCCTTTGCCCAGGAGGTCTGGAGCACTGGCCCTCTGCAGAGGGGAAACTGAGGCATGGTGAGGCCACACCTCTGTAGTGCCTGGAGATACAGCCAAGCCCCTCTCTGCAATGCCTTGGCTGCATTGTACCCTGGCCTGGCTGTGCGGGGGGCCGGGCGTCCCCCTGCCCCAAGAGCCCCTCCATGCCAGAGCCTTCTGCCCCTCTTTGGGGCCAGGAGTGAGCAGAGTCGCTCTGGGGAAGCCTCACATCTCGTCCCCCTCCCTGTGCCCCCACAGACAAGCGGACAGACAAGTCGGCCGTATCGGGAGCCATCCGGCTGCACATCAGCGTGGAGATCAAAGGCGAGGAGAAGGTGGCTCCCTACCACGTCCAGTACACCTGCCTGCACGAGGTGAGCAGCCCAGGCAGGCGCGGGGGGCATGGCCCCCAACCCAGCAATGCCACCGTGCCGCACCGGCCCCGAGGACCTGACGGGACTTATTTGTACCTCCAGAACCTGTTCCACTTTGTGACGGATTTGCAAAACAACGGGGTGGTGAAGATCCCCGACGCCAAGGGGGATGATGCCTGGAAGGTGTACTTTGATGAGACGGCGCAGGAGATCGTGGACGAGTTTGCCATGCGCTACGGGGTGGAGTCCATCTACCAGGCCATGACGTGAGTCCCTCGCCCTCCACCCTGCTCGAAGGGGCCGCGCCAGCCCTGGGTGGGGGGATCACTGTTGGCACCTTCCTC